GTCCAAGTCAATCTGGGATCATGCATTACCCTCGATGTCCTGCGAGTTGTGGATCTGAAGTACTGCACTGGCAATGGCAATGGACAAGTGAGAAATCCTTATCCTTACCTTTGATTAACCAAACTGGGGGGGGGGACCTAAGCTTCTTCCCAAAGCCAACCCTGCTGCCTTTCTTGCCTGGCATCTCCTCTTCTGAGTGATTCCTTCCTGAGGGTGGAGATGCTGAAAGAGGGCAATGGGTCTGGAAAGGTTTCCATCCCAGACCTTGAGCCCAGATTAAATGTTGGCCAGTCCTTTTGCAGTCATCAACCTCTAAAGGCAGCAGATGACAGCTGTCAGATGATTCATGGAATCCATAAAATAATTCTTACGGCCTCTACTCAACACCACAGCCTTGATTCTGGGTCATTTGGAAAAGACTGAGGCAGTGTCTGCAGTCTCTGGGGAGCAGCACTTCTTCCATTGTAGCAGGGATTTTGTGGAAAATTTGGGGATATCAGATTCTCCATCAAAGGTGAAATGTCTTCTTTCCCTTGGCTTTTTAGTCTCAGCAGATTCCCGGAGACATCTTCAACAACACACAGGGCAGCATCTTCAACAACACCCAAGTCATCATTGGTGGCCAGTCCCAAATTGTGACCATCAACAGGCAATGGCATGTGGCAATCATTGAGCAAAGGAGCTTCAGCGGGTCCTGGAAAACCGTCTGGAACTACAACACGGTGAGTGGCAGGGAGGGGTCTGCTTCAAAAAGCATCCAAGGAGTCAGGCTGCTCATAGAGCTGGCCCAGGGACAGAGATTGTTTCTTTATTGAAAACATTTGGTGTTAGTGATGCAGCATAGAAACTTTCATCAACTCTTATGGTTTCCATCCTGACTTTATCTCAAAATTATTAGTTGGAAAAAACAGAATTATGAGTGCTGAATACTTTTATTTCACAGGGTGTCATTGCCACCAAAGTCACTCAGCAGAACACCTGCTATATTTCCATCATGAACAGAAGCGAGATGCCCCACTTTGATAACCTGGCCCACCTGGCAGAAGAGAGCAGGGTAAGGTTCCCAAGCTGTAGCAGTTTCATGACCCTGGAGCTTATTGGGCCATATCTTCATGTGATTATATCTTCAGGAGGGGACAAGGTTGTCAATAGTGGTAGAATTTTCTTTCTTTCAAGAGTAGTTTGGTTTGGGAATTTTTCAGAGGAATGGCATGCTGAAAGAGAAAAAGGGACACCATTCCCTCCCCCAGCTTCACATTGTCTGAGAACCTGCAGCTTGCTGGGCAAACCCTTGCTCTGTGGAGCAAGGAGCCCTTCAATTATTGATTCTCTTGGCATGCCAAGATCTTAAAGTCCTACACACACTATTCAGTACCAAACTCAATTCGTCTGCTCAGAACTTGGCATTACAGATGCTCTTGGCTAGACTCTCCTTTTCCTTTGGGATGTGAGAGAGTGAATCCCTCTTCCACAGCTTTTCCCCTAGGGAATATTCTTAGCAGAAAACAGATTCTGACACCAATCTTGCTCATTGCTGTAATTTCTGGTTTAGAACCAGATTGGTTTTGGAAGACCTACCAAGACGATCACCTTTGTCGCCAGTGCATTGGTCAACAACCTCCAGTCTTATGGATCAGATGTCTTCTCTATGTGCAGTGGACTAACCACCTACATGGCTTATGAGGTTCATGGTGAGTGCAAGCAAAACAATTCTGTCTCTGAGTGACCTGGCATTTGTTTCCCTTGAGGAATGACCAATGCACAATTGCTGCTCTTCCACCTCAAGTCAGACAGAAACCAAGGGCTTCAGCAGTTGTACGAAGGGTTCAACATCTTTGCAGATCAGGACTGGAACAGGGTAGGGTCACAGCCCCCATAAATGACCCAAACCAAACCTTTACAGTTCCTTTCCAGTAATCTTTATTAGTCTGGACCCATGAATTGGCAGCAGCCTCACTATGCAATGCCCAGCCACTCTCAGGACAAAGTGCAATAGAGCCCCAAATCCTGCACAGGAAATCCCAAAGGGTGTTCAAGAGCAGGTCTTTGTGAACATTCCTGGCGGAGCCACAGAGCCGGTGCTCTCTGGGGACTGCAAGAGAATCTGTCCCTTGCACAGCTCAAACATTCCCAGAGCTGCAATCCTTCAGAACCTGGCTGGCTCTGAGCAACACCACCACCCTCCTGCAGAAGATCAGCCAATGTCTTCTGCATCAGCTCAAGGGGTTTTGTCTTTTCTTTTCCAGGTTTCCAAGGGCCCCAGGTGAATCCTGGATCATGCATTACCCTTGATGTCCTGGGTGTTGTGGATCTGAAGTACTGCCTTGGTAATTTCCATGGCAATGGACAGGTGAGAAAACCTTAGCCCTTAGATTTGTTAAAGCAGTTTGAGGGACTCAAAGCTTCTGCTCAAACCCAACCTTGATGCCCTTCTTGCCTGACATCTCCTCTTTTGAGAGGTTCCTGGCTGAGGGTGCATGCTGATACAGCAATGGGTCAGCAGAAGTTTCTGTTCAGGACCTTAAGCGTGGATTTTCTCTGGCCTCTGACCTAGCATGCATCAACCTCTAAAGGCAGCAGATGACAACTGTCAGATGCAGCAATGATTCACTGAATTAATGAAAAGAATTCTTATGCCCACTGCCCACTGCCACTGCCTTGATTCAGGGTTTTTTGGAAAAGACTGAGGGCAGTGCAGGCACTTCTCGAGGGGCAGCACTTCTTCAATTGTAACAGGGATTTTTCAGAATCTTTGGGGACATCACTGTCTCCCTTCAAAGGCAAAACATCTTTGTTCCCTTGGCTTTTCAGTCTCAGCAGACAGGTAACAACTGCCATTTCTCTGGTGCGTGTGTTTACCAAAACATGACCCTCAGCAGCCAAACCCGTGAGGTGATTATCGAGCAAAGGAGCGAGCAGCTCTCATGGAAAACCATCTGGAACTACAACACGGTGAGTGACAGGGAGGGGGCTCATCAAAAAGTTTACTGGGAGACTGGCTCTTGGCACAGCTGTCCCAGGGACAGGGCATGTTTCTGTGTCCTCACTGTCCTGAGTGCAAGACTGGGGCAGAACCTCTCAGCATTTGTTACTCTTGTTAGTCAGAGTCTATCCCGTCCTTTTGGGTGGAAAACCAAACTGTGAGTGCTCAATAACTTTATTTTACAGGGCATCATTGCAACCAAAGTGGTGCAGGAGAGAACGTGCTACATTTCCACCATGAACAGACATGAGATGCCCACCTTTGATGCCCTCGTCCAATATGCTTCAGAGAACAGGGTAAGATTCAAAGTCAGCAGTTGCTTGGAATATTGTAGTGTATTTGAAATTCCTTTTTATGCCTGAAACACTGCTGTTTTCAAAACCCTCTTAACTAATTAGTAAATTAAAATCCATTTTAATGGTTATTTTCATGGTTATTTTCAGTGATGCTTTTCAGGTACATCTTTTGAAGGCTTTCAAAAATGACAATATCCTCATTTAGATGCCTTTAGTGCAGGTTCATCATGTTGAGTTCAAGTCCTAGATTAGTTAGATAATTTTTACAGTGATTTAAATAATGATTTCAATTGGCTTTTTATATTACCTTAGTAGCCAAGACTTTAGATTCTTTGCTAAGTATGTTATATAAAGTCTCATTCTGAAAGTCTAGAAAAATATTTTTTTAATAACATCAAATTGAGGAAGAACAAATACTTTGATTTTACAGCAAAAATATTTTAGAAAGCTTTCAAACATTTTGAAGAAAATTATGCTCAGTGTTTCTTTAGTTCAGCCATCCACATTAGCACAGACATTATAAAAATTATATCAGCATTCAGAGTATTCACATTTGCTAAACACTGGCTCCCACTGAAGTCTGAGAACTGAGTCTGTAAAAAAACCACACTTTAAATAGCAGGAAGAGCAGTAGGGCAGAAGGGAATCAGGAGGAGACTCCTCCTGCCAGCCACAGCCCGAGTGCCCCTGAGGGGCGAGGGCAGCGACTGAGCAAGTGCCTTGGAAGGAGCTCTGGCTCCTCAGAGCAGCTGCACTCCTCCTCCTCAGCGCTTCCCCGCTGGCTCCCTGCACCTTGACTCCCTTAGAACCACCCGACCTGGGAGCTGCCTTCAGGGCTTGCTGGTGGGCCCAGAGTCTCCCAGGGACTGAAAGGCGTTTCTAAAGGCAGCTGGGACTCCAACACCCAGCCCCGAGTCATCCTTCCTTCCAGAGTGAGGAACAGCCCTTGGAGGAGCCAGCTGCAGGCACTGATCTTGCTGAATGCTGTACTTTGTCCTTTAGAACCAGATCAGTCTTGGGAGACCTACCAAGAAGATCACCTTTGTCACCAATGGATTGGTCAGCAACCTCCAGTCTTATGGATCAGATGTCTTCTCTATGTGCAGTGGACTCACCACCTACATGGCTTATGAGGTTCATGGTGAGTGCAAGCAAAGGAATTCTGTCTCTGAGTGACCTGGCATTTGTTTCCTTTGGGAATGACCAATGCACAATTGCTGCTCTTCCACCTTGAGATCGACACATCCTTGTAGAAGAGCAGCTGCTGCTATGGAGATGTGTATAAATCTACTGAGTTGGTGTCAGTTTCTTAATCACAGAGGTTCTTGTACTAATGTCAAAAACTATATTATTTTGAAATATATTCAGGTAATTCTTTTACTCAGAGGAGTTAATCCTGTGGCACCCTCAAAGTATTCGGAGCCTTTCTCCAGCTGATGGTCTCCAAGCCTCTTTTGGAAAACACTCTGCAGCTCAGGCTCCATATGTTGCATTCTGGCTTAGCAGCAGTTCCACGTACTCACTATTTGCTTTGCTTTAAGCTTGCTTTGGCAGCTGAAAGGGCTCGATGTGATTGAAAAGGCAAGTGCAATGTGCCAGGTTGAAGGGCTGTCAGCGAATGCACAGAGCACTTAACAGCCTCTAAGCCAGTGACTCTTTTTTTTTTATCCTTTTTTTTTCTTTTTTTGATGTTGTTTGTATAGGAACCCAGCTGAATCAGGGATCGTGTCTCTCACTTGATGTCCTCAAACTTGTGGACCTGAATTACTGTGGTGGCAATATCAAGGCCTGAAAACCTTATCTTTCTTCAGTCAAGAGCAGAGACTCTGAGCTGCTGCCCAAGGCAAACCCTGATGCAATTCTTCCCTCACATCTCCTTTTAGAGATGGTCTTGGGGATTTAGATGCTGACACAGATCAACTGGTGGCCACATCTTTCAAATAAAGTCCTTCATAATGTATTAACTCCAGCCTGTTTGTCGATACTCTACCCTTTTTCATCTAAGAACTCTCCACAAAAATATTTTTATTGTCTCCCTTCTGCCCCATTTGAGCCCTTCAAATGCTCTTTTCATTGCCAGCTCTCAACACAGGGCACAGACAAAGAGCTGGGCAAGCCCCACGGTGTGTATGGTACAAATAAAGCATTCACAGTTAGGACCTTCCTTCCCAGTTTGGGGAAAGATGTCTCACGTTAAGAATCTTGATTCAGGTGGCACAAAAGGCAGAAAGAAAGAAGGGCAAAGCAGTGAATTTGCCTTCTTTAGGGGAAGAGGAGTCTCCTTTGTGTTGTTCTGTTGTTCTGTTCCTAAAAAAAGGCAAGGTTGGGATTCCTGTTGCTCAAATCTTTACAATCAAGATTATTTCCTTCTCTCTAACAAAAATGGCAGGATGCCCCAAATTATCCAGGTGAATACAAATCTGCCTTTAGTACCAACACCATCCCTCAGTTTCTGGCACACCCAAATCAGCCCTCAGTTCATAATCTGGTGCACATTGGCACAAAGCATCACTACAAGTTTCCTGGGAATCTGTGCTCTGCTTCTGATGATCATTGGTTTTCATTTAAAAGTGACTGATCAATACACTGAGCTTACCACGACCACTTTCCTCTCACCTCCCTGTATGCCATGAATTCAATCAGGCAGGTATCAAAGCCTCCTCTTATCAGAGCACTTCCCCAGGAAACTCGTCATGCTTCTGTGAACACAGGGCACCTGCCAATAAGGCAAACCCATTTTCAGATTTAACTTTGGGATATTATGTATAAAAAGCAAGAGTACACATCAATTAGCAGCAGAGCTGGCCAGGCCTGCCATCCAAATGAAGTTCCCTGTAAGTATACCTATTGCTTTCTCATAAAACTCTTAAGGCTGGACAGCTTTTAAGTGGTTTTGAGCTTTTCTTGGCACTGAGAGAACTCTTAGTGATTTCTGACAAAGTGAAAATGCCAAAAGGGTGGGGACTACAGGGGAGAAATCTCCCTTTTGGCAGGGATGGAACTCTACGTGTTCAAATATGAAAGTGCTGTGTTCCAGGGGTGACACACACTCGTGACACGTCCACAGCACAATATTCTCTCCTTCACCACTCAGAGGCAAATCAACAGTCTCAGCAAGTCACATAAAGTTAGGGCTCAGCTGTTTGCTGAGAGCTTAGGAGAACCATGAGACATGAGAGACCCCCCCTGTGCACTCAGATCCTCCTCATCAGAATCCTTTGAAATGAAAATTTGGACCAATTCAACATTCAAGAGAATGTCTCCATGATAATAATTGTTCACAACATTTAACACAAATGAATTTATCATCATAACAAATAATTCTCCTGCATACTTAAATCCTGTTCAGCTGGATCCCACTGCAGAAAGAGCTGAGCCTGTCCACAAAATAAACTGGAAGTCAGAATTATTTTAAGACAGAAAATAACTTGATGCAAGATAATCAGTCACAATGTTAAAATGTTGTGAGATTCAAATGCTCCTTTCAGGTTGTGATTGCTTCTTTTCTTGGTGGTTTCCTGGTTCCTGCTCTAGCTTCCAGGGTGTTGTGAATGAGTGGTTTCAGTCACTTAAAGAAAATAAAAAAGCAGGTTTCAACATCAGTTTGTGGAAGTACAGAATTCAATGGCAAGGGTTAGTCTATTGCTTACTGCATAGATGAAACCTGCAAAGGAAAATCAAATTAAAATAATTTCAGAATGGCATACACAGAGTCCAGGGCTGCAAAGGGTGAGGGGGCAATGGGTTTAAGAGCATTTAAACACTGACTCATTGACAAGGTGGTTCGATAGTGTTTACTACAATTACAACAAAGACTGAAATATAGATTCAAGATAGCAACATTATACCCTAATCACTCCTCATGCACACACACAGGCCCAAAGCTGTTTACATCTCTATCAATGTGTGCAAAAGGACCTGTTAAAAATTCCCCTGGGACGGGACAAACACCTTTGCCTTTCTCAGTGGGTGAGGGGTGAGTCTCGAGGAGAGGGGGGCACCAGCCCAGACTTCAGGGAGTCTTTTCAGTACTGCAGCCCTGAGGCTTGGCAAGCTCCAGGAGAGAGCCCACTCCAGGGAGATGCTCGTGGAGCCCACTGCAGCCCAGGGCAGCTCAGAGACCCCCTAGCACTGCTGTTCATGGAGGCAGGAGATGGCTGTCCTTCATTCCCAGGAGATTTGTGTCCTTCAATTCCCAGGAGATTTGTGTCCTTCAATTCCCAGGAGATTTGTGTCCTTCATTCCCAGGAGATTCGTGCCCTGGCCTATCCCGAGTTGGTAACAATGGTCCCGTTCCACTCAGGCTGTGATACAGGTAGATAATGTTCCAAGGCTGTCAGGGGGTGAGTGATTGTCCCTTGTTCCCTGCCTGGGTCAGGCAAGCAACGTTCCTGATTTAAGCAGTGTCACTCCCACGTTTCCCTCTCGGAGTTCCCAGTACAATCCTGAAAACCAGGTCTGGGTAAAGCCTGAGTGCAAATTCTGACACAAGAGCACTGATGGCTCCTGTGGGCTTCCCAGATGGGCTTCCCAGCCTCCCTCTGAGGCCAGAAACCAGCTCCCCTTTAGTCTGACCTCCAAGAGCAATCATTCCCCAAAACAGGGACACTGCAGCTTTATACACTGCTGGGAATCAACAAAATCCTTACTTCCTTTAATCTATTCCAAAAACTGGAACAGCAGGAAAAACTCCAAGGAGCACCACAATGAAAGTTCACACCACTCTGCCACTGGGGTTATGCTTGAGCAGGAGAAATATCATACACGTGGCATTGCTGGAGGAGGCAAAAAAACCTTTTTTTTTTTTTTTAACCTACCAACAGATTCCTACCTCACAATCATCAGACACCAGCAAATCAAAATTTCCAGAAGTACAATCCCCACATTTATCAAGTAGTTACACCAGGAAATAATTATCAGGGACATGCAGTGGGGAAACAAATGACAAAATAATTTTATTGCAGCATTCAGCCCTTCCACACCTAATTCTGAAAACAAATAAAAGGTGGGAGGCTCACATCATTTATTCTGCCTTCAGCAGCATCAGCTCTGCAGTCAGGATGCATCTCCCTGTAAGTATGCATGCTTTTCTTCCTTACAAACTGAAACTTTGATTCAAACCCATTCCTTTCTCTCTCAGAAGGGCTTCTGCCTCTCTGGGGCCATTGTGCTCCTGCAGAAGGAGCAGCTGAGCCCCTGCTCCCCAGAGGAGCTGAGGAGGTAAGGATTTCTTCACGGCTTGGCTGTACCTGATTCAGAAAACAGGAAGCCTAATCCATGCCCATTCTTGTCAACGCTATTGCACCACTGGAGCACTGCACTAGTGCATCAAGCCCTTCCCTGTAATGCCAGAGCAGGAGAAATGGCAAAGCTTTCTCCTCACTCCTGTAAAATACCCGTGTGTGCCTGCACAGGTCTGAGAAACAGCTCTCGAGACAGCAAGTGTGAAATGTGTCTGCTTTGAGCACCCTGGGCTAAAGCAAGGGTGCCTCCCTTTGGGGGCACTGGTGCAATCCCAGGTTGAAAGCAAAAAAAGGATCCAAAGAGGAGCCTTGAACATCAGAACAGGAAAAGGGGAGGAGGATTGTCATGGCCAGATTTGTCAGCCAGAGCTGCAGTTACATTTTGTATTTGATTTTCATTTCAGATTTTGACTGCAGTCCTTCTTGGACTCATCCTGACTCCAGCCCTTGCTGATTATGTGAGTACAAATAAACAATTTCCACATTGCTGCTCTTTCTATGATCTCTGCTTCAGAGATCTCCTTGAGCCTTTCATTTTTCTAAAGCCTTGGGCAGATAATCACTTGAAAGCCAAAGTGCTCTTTAATTTGCTTTTCTAGCATCAACAGACTGAAGTAAGCAAGAAAATCTCCATTGGTGGAGCCTACCAAATTATGACCATCAATAAGAAATGGCTGGTGGCAAGTATTGAACAAAAGACTAGCTATGGGTACTGGAAAACCATCTGGAACTATGACACAGTGAGTGCAGTCTCTTGTTCTTGCTCATACATTCAATAAAATCTCCTTTTATACATTTTTAAATAGGTATTAAATTCCAGTATTAGTGATTAAATTCCCAGTGGTCCATAACTTTATTTTACAGGGCTTTATGGCAACCAAAGTGCTGCCAGAGAGAGCTTGCTACATTTCCATAATGAACAGAACAGAGATGCCCAACTTTGATGCTCTTCCCCAGCTGGCTGCAGACATCAGGGTAAGGTTGAAAAGGAGCAGTTACTTGGAAAGTTGCACTTAATGCAAAGTCTACTGATATGGGAAGCCTTGCTATTTTCAAAACCAACAGGTACTTTAAAGACCAGGTTTGTCACACCAGTAATTAGATATTTTTATCAATTTCACTGACATTTTACAGCAATGTGACTTTAAACGTTTGACAATTGGAATACCCTTGTTCAGATGCTTCCAGTAGAGGGTTTACATGTTTGGCCAATGTTGTAGCTCAGTTAGATTATTCTTAAAATGTTTATAACAGCTAAAGCTGGGAATATGCCTGGAGTTAAATGGAGCAGGGCACGGATCTTGCTGAATGCTGGGTTTTGATGTTTAGAACCAGAATAGTCCAAGAACCCCTACAAAGGAGATCACATTCACCCTTGTGAAGAGAATTATTCGTGACCTCGAATCATATGGACCAGACATCTTCTCTATGTGCAGAGGGCTCTCAACTTATGTGGCTTATGAGGTTCATGGTGAGTGCAAGCAAAAGAATTCTGTCTCTGAGTGACCTGGCATTTGTTTCCCTTGGGAATGACCAATGCACAATTGCTGCTCTTCCACCTTGAATCAAACAGAAACCAAGGGCTTCAGCAGTTGTACAAAGGGTTCAACATCCTTGCAGATCAGAACTGGAACAGGATGGGGTCACAGCCCCCATAAATGACCCAAAGCAAATCCTTAGAGCTCCTCCCCAGGAAGCTTAAGGAGGCTTAATTTTGGTCCCAGAGTGTTTCAGCTCAAACTGAGCTCTCCTGTAATTCCCAGTCAATAAAAAGGGTAGTTCTAAGCACCTCTGTCCTTCAACTCAGAGCTGACTTGACCCAGAGAACTTAACAGCATCTTAATCTATGTCTCATGGTAATTGCTTTTCTTTTCTGGTTTTTGAAGGACCTCAATTCAATCTTGGATCATGCATCAAGCTCGATGTCCTTCAATATTTGGCCCTCACCTACTGCCATAATGGTGACTTTGTGTAAACCATGCCTTTCCTGAGCCTTGTGGGGATGCTCCAGCAGCAGCCTTGCAGCTGCTGCCCAAAGCCAGCCCTGCTGGAGTTATTCCCTGGCATCTCTTCCTTCAAGAGGTTCCTTCCTGAGGATTGAGGACTGGAACAGATCAGTTGGTGAGCAGAGCTATCAATTAAATTCCTTCATCATTGAATAACTCTGGCCTGTTTGTCATTACTCTACCCTTTTTCTTCTAAGAACACCTCCACGAAAATATTTTGCCCCATTTGAGCCCTTCCACTGCTCTTTTCATCTCAGCACACCCAGAGAGCTGGGCAGGCCCATGGTACAAACCAGGCACTCACAGGTAGGACCTTCCTTCCCTGCCTAGGGAAAGATGCTTCTCATTAAAAATCTTGTTTCAGGGGGCACAAAAGGCAGAAGAAAAGAAGTGCAAAGCAGTGAATTTACCTTTCTTAGAGGGAGTCTCCTTTGTAGGATTTACAGAGTTGTTCTGTCCCTACCATAATGCAAAGCTGAGATTCTTGTTGCTCAAATCTTTACAATCAAGGTTGATATTTCCCTTTCTCTAACCCAAAAGGCAGCGTGCCCCGAGCTGAGCCACTCAGCCTCTGCTGACGTGACATGGCAATGCACTGGGGCTGCTGGGGAGCCTCAGCACCTTCTGGGGAGGTCTGGATCAGCCCATGGCACTCACTGGAGACCTTTCCACCCCGGGGAGCTCCTGATCCCTTGAAAAATTACAGCAGTCCAGGGAAGAAAAAAATCCTCTTAGCCACTGAGTGTCAGCCTCGAGTTGCACAGCTGAGATGGAAAAGGCCCTCGACTCCCATCCAGAGGAGTCTATCCCAGGACTATCCCAGGACTATCCCAGGACTGTCCCAGAGCACCAGGAGAGTGAAGTGGGTCCAGTTCCAGCCCAGCTGAGCTGGGTTACAGCACTGCAGACACAGCCAGGGACTCTGAGGTGGCTGCAGCAGGAATTCCTGTGCAGTGATCATTTAATCATGAGAATAACACTGGGGAGTGTGGGCAGCTTCCACACGGTGCTGTGACAGCTTCCTGAGGTCCTGAAAAACAGGGAATGTGATTTTTAGGTGTTGACAAAAGCCACTACCCATCATCCAGGTCAGCCACCTGAGAGCCAAAGGGAACCACCCCAGAGTCACCCAAAGGTGCTCCTGAACCCAAAGGCACCTACTGGAGCTTCATTAGCCTTTGCACAGCTGTGTGCAATTAAATCACCTCGTTATTGCCTCTCACACAGAGCCTAAAGCACACTCAGTCTTCCCAAGGTCTCTCACACACAACCTGCAATCTTCAAAATGTTTTTATTCTGGCACTTTTAGTGAGGGGGGAAAGGGCAGAAATATTCCAACACCCCTCCTGTGTCCCACACGAGCCAGAGTGTTGGTGCTGCTCTTGCCAGATCATAAAGAAAAATGCACAATCTTCAGGCAGGCATATGGAGGGGATTAGCCCTGAAGAAATTCAGAATTTCAGGATACAGCTCAGTGTTCCCTTGGTCAGCAGCTCCCCCCATCTCAGAGCACTCACAGCTCCATCAGTTCCTTGACTTTTCCCCAAGCTTTGCTGGGGCTCGTGTCACTCTGAACCCACAGAGAATCTGATCTCCCCCACTTTGGCTAAGGATGTTTGAAGGACAAATGCCATGCTTGAAGCCTGGCACAGGTGCATTGCATCCCCTGAAACCCCCACTGACAGCTGCTCCACTCACCAGGTGTTGGCACTTAGGAGATTGGGTTCGTTGGTGTGGCCTGGGGGTCTGGGAGGGAAATTTGGGAGCTGCTGTACCAATGAAAGCAAGCTGGAGGTGCTGGGGTCCCTCTCTGGGGGTTGGTGCTCCTTTCAAGCTGTCCTGCCTGCTTTTAGAGCCCGTGGTGCTGTTTGTGGAAGGAGACAAGGGAGGTGAGTGCAGGGTTATATTTTCCACTCCATTTCCTTGGAACTCAGTTTAGGCTTTAGAGGTTGAGCTGAGTTTGGTGAGGGTGGTGATTTGGGGCAGACTTTGATGAGCACGGGCACTGCTGAGTGCTCCTGAGGTATGAGAAAATGCAAGGCAGGAAGCCTGACGTGGCTTTTCACTCCTGTGAAGCTGCCCCAGGTTTTTAAAGATCTTTAAACTCAGATGTTGCCTACGTGGGGAACAAAGGCAGCTCTGCACATCTCTTCTGGCTGTGTGGAAAACAAAGATGTAGTGATAGGATGAGGGGGAACGGCCTTGAGGGCAGGGTTAGTGGGATATTGGGAAGGAATTCCTCCTGTGAGGGTGGGATGGGATTCCCAGAGAAGCTGTGGCTCCCCGGGCAGTGCCCAAGGCCAGGCTGGACAGGGCTTGGAGCAGCTGGGACAGTGGAGGTGTCCCTGGCAGGGCAGGGATGGGCTGGGATTTGGGCTTTGGGTCCATCCTAAGGCAGCCC